GTAAACGAGCGCGACAGCGCAGCGCGGGACGAGCGCAGAAGCCGTGGGCGGCGCATCTGGGCCGGCTCCGTCCCCACCCAGCAGCGTCCCCACGCCTACCTGGGCGGGCGGCAGCCACTCATCACGCGAAACCCTCTCTCAGACGCGGGGTGGTGGGCGAAGTCCCGACTTCCTCCAGCCGCACGGCTTTGGCACCTTCCGCATCCGGTGTACGCACCGCGATGGGCGTAGGGCGAGCTTCAGGAGCTAAGGATCAGGAGGCGGGAGGGCAGCAGCGACGACGTCTGGTCGCGCTCAGGAAGTCTCAGTCCTCCTAGTGCCGGTAGACCATGGATACCACACAGGCTGCGGTAGCGCGAGGTGACGCCCGACCTGGACGAGCGCAAGACGGGTGGGAGACGGGAACAGACGTGGAGGGTGGGGAACATGACTATCTAAGACTTGAGTACAGGCGTCTCAGATGGTCATCAGAGGCTTCGAGGGCCATATTCTCCATGTTCTTGCAGACCCTTTGCAGAAATGTGCACGTATTACCAAAGGCATAAACCTGCCAGTCCATAATCATCCCTGCCTCTGATACATTCCGTCCCTCTTTAGACCTTAGTTGCGGGACTAGAATTCTCAAAGCATGCACTCAGCCCATTTGAAATGACGATCCTGGCTTTTGCTGTCATCAAGAGTTGGCATCATCCACCATATCGATTAGAACATTTTAACAATCCTCAAGAAGAACCCCGGACCCGGGTTAGCCATAATCTCCCCAAATCCTCAGCCCATTCCCACCCACTGCAGTCCAAGCACAACTATCTTCTTTCTAGATGCCATACTATCTGCATGTCGTGTTCAATGGAATACAGTATAAAAGACTGTGCGTCTTTGTGTCTAGCTTTACTTCACTTATCTGAGTTTTCAGCGATTCATCCAGTGTTGTAGCATGTAGGAGTACTTAATTTCTTTTTAGTTACAAATAATATCAGATGTATGGCTAATATCACGTATCCATTATCAGTATGACTGGCATTGGGCTTTTCCTCTTTGGCTATGGATGAATACAGGAAACCTCAAAGCAGAGCGGATCAAAGAAAGTTCATCATCTAAACGCGTTGTCAATACAGAATGAGAGCATGTAATAAAATATCTCTAGCTAAAAACAAAAACAAACAAACAAAAAACCCTAGAAAACAAATATCGAATCTCTAGAACCTCAGTCTCAGTGTGCTGGATACAGATGAAGCCAATCTTCCAGTGAGACTGAGCAACTATAAAGGGGAGCAGTAAGGTGCGCGTTCAGGGATAGAGAGGCAAAGCTTTGTGCAAAGCATATGACTTGTTGATGTACCCAGCACACAGTAGGTCGTCTGGGATATCTGCCATCAGCAGTCTGAATGGACCCTATTCAGATCTTCATCTGTTCCTCTCAAATGGATCCAGTATTTTGGTTCTTTTGCTGTCAGAATATTGCTATTGAGGTCAAGATTGTTTTCTAATCTATTCTATGCATGTCAGCAAGCAAGCAGTTAATTCTAAACTTTTAAAGACACAACAGGCCGGAGGCGCGTGCTCACGGCCTAACCTAGCACTCTGGGACGCCGCAGGCGGGCAGACGTTGAGTCGGAGGTCGACCAACCTGAGCAAGATGAGACCCCCATCACTATAAATAGAAAGAAATAATGGCAAAATACGTATATAGAGAATAAATAGCCAGCATGGTGGCGCATGACCTGTGTCCAGACTACCAGGAGGATAGGCAGCAGAATAGCTTGAGCCCAGGTTGATTTGCTGGAGTAGGCTAGCCACAGCCACAATCACTCTACCTGGCAACAAATGAGACTCATGCTCTCAAAAAAAAAAAAAAAAAAAAAAGACAACAAGGCAAAGGAGTATATGGAAGCAAAGTGGGCTTCCCTTAGCCATAGCCCAAAGATTATAGTCTAATGGCCTTTGGGTGGCTTACCAGCAAGCTATGTTTATTATTCCTCAGTGCATGACATGCTGTACAAATATCAAAAAGACCTGAGATACTCTTCATCTTATACCTCAGGATGATCCTCTGGCCACAAGACAGACTGCACAGCAACAACAAATGACAAAAATAAACAAAAACAACCACCACAACATCCTGGAGGCAGGACATGGTGGCTCCGTCCTGTATCCTAGCACTCTGGAGACGTAGGAGGGCGAGGATTGCTGACTCAGATTTATGAGACCAGCCCGAAGCAAGAGTGAGACCCCCTTAATAAAATTGAAAGAAATTATCTGACAACTAATATCATATATAGAATAATTAACTGGCATGGTGGCACATACCTGTAGTCCCAGCTATCAGGAGGCTGAAGCAGAAGATTGCTTGAGCCCAGAGTTTGAGGTGCTGTAACTAGGCTGATGCCACAGCATCTAACCGCGGCACACAGGTGAGACTCTGCTAAAACAAAACACAGTGCCATCAAATCATGGGTGGATTATTAAAATGTGGTACTAATTTATACCCACAAATAACACTAGCCATAAAAAAGGTATGTAATAATTATCCTTTTGCTTGATACATTTGGTAATATTACTTGCTCGAGGGTAAACACTGGGCTCAAGCAATCCTGCTGCCTCAGCCTCCCGAGTAGCTGGGACTACAGGCATGCGCCACCATGCCCGGCTAATTTCTTCTATATATATTAGTTGGCCAATTAATTTCTTTCTATTTATAGTAGAGACGGGGTCTCGATCTTGCTCAGGCTCGTTTTGAACTCCTGACTTCGAGCAATCTGCCCACCTCAGCCTCCCAGAGAGCTAGGATTACAGGCGTGAGCCACCACTCCCGGCCCTAATGCCTATTTCTGTAAATAAAGTTTATTGGAATACAGCCATACTCATTTCATTTACTCACTGTCCTCTCTAGACAGTGTAGCTTTGGAGCTATAATGGCAGAGCTGAGTACTTGCAAAATATTTACTATTTGGTTCTTTATGGAACAAATTAAACACCATTGGCTTTGGCTCTTCAAAAATTCAATGTTAGGGTAAAAAAGAGACCAAAGGGCTCTAACAATCAAATGCAGACACACAGACCTTATTTTGATCACAGATTCCCCTCTGCCGATGTAATAAAAGACATTTCTGGAACAATTAGAGATATATGAATACGGATTGGATATTAGATGATGTTATTGAATTATTAATTCCCGAAGGGGAATAATGGTAGGATTATAAAAAAGAATGTCCTTTCTTTTAGGAAATTCCAATGGAAGTATTTGGGGTGAGGTATGTCGACCTAAAAGGAAGAGGCTGAGTCTTGAAATATAGAGAGTTTACTTGAATAAAAGTGAGGACAGCTGCCAGGGACACTTCCAAGTTGCCTTGGGGGACTGCTCCATCGCCTTTGTTATAAGGTTTTTAAAGGGAAAGGGGACAATGAGTGTCCTGATACAAAGTTGTTCGTTGGGAATTCTCATTTGTTTATTTACAGCAATAACACTGATTACTGATTGGCTATACACTGTTGACCTATAGGGTAGGAGCCATGAGGTCCAACCTATGGCATTTTATGGCTTCTTGGAGTCAGTCTGGAGCCCACATAGCAAGTAGCTTCAAGAGATATTTATTTAGCACACAAGGGAGTGATGTGACTACTGTTTGATTCCATTGCCTCTCTGGGCCTGATAATTTAAAGGGGCTCACGATCCTCAGATAAAAAGCTTCTTTTCTTTCTTTCCATACATGTCATTTAATATCTGCACTTTCAAACAGTTCATCAGAAAACATATATATAGCTAGGGAAACATACACAGAGGATGTATGTGTGGCAAAATATAAACAGTTCGTGATTCTAGGCCAGCAATACATATAGTACTTGTCTTTCAACATTTCTGTAGGCATAACATTTGCCAAAATAAAAACGCAGGAAAAAAATAACCCAACTTAGTCAAAACCTAGCTCTATTGGGGTCAACACAATTTTAACCTTTGGTACTAGCATAATGTAGCCTGCATCCTCCTTATTCCTGGAGGCACCTAAGTTGTGAAGTTCTGCGAGAAGTATGTACAGATCTAGAAAGTTCAGCTGCTGTTGACCTCGGCTGACTACTCTTGCTCTAAGTAGAAAGGCTTGTGGCCAACATAGTCATATTTCTTTAAGCCTACAAATCCTACAAACCTAAGAACGCATCTTAACACCCAAACATGATGCACCAAATATAAGTTACTGATGCCCACAGCCAGTACAAAACTCAGCGGTTAAAAACTTCTCTTATCCAGGTGCGGTGGTACCCGCACTGTAATCCCAGTTTCTTGGGAGGCCAACGCAGAAGAAACCCTTGAACCCAGGAGTTGGAGGCTGCAGTGAGCTATGATGATGCCACTGCTCTCTAACCTGGGTGACGGAGCGAGACCCTGTCTCAAAAAACCCCCCCAAAACCCAAAAAAGTTTCTCTTGCAAAATCCAAACTTATCTGCAGTGACAATCAATGTAGTATTGAGGGGTAGGCTGTAGTGATCATGGTTCAACATTTCGTTCTCAACATTTTGATAGTCATTGTTTCACATATGTACTCCTATGACCAAACTTATCAAAACATACACTTTAAATATGTGCAAATACCGTGTTTCCCTGAAAATAAGACAGGGTCTTATATTTATTTTTCCTCAAGAAGACACCCTAGGGCCCATTTTCAGGGGATGTGTTAGTTTTTTAAGTACCGTACAACAATCTACATTTATTCAAATATAGTAAAGTCATCTTCTTCTGGAACATCATCATAACTCTCCAGACCCCGAATTCTATCCTGAATTTCTTGTGACTCTATTTCCTTTAGAAACATTGGCCTCGATCTCTCATGTCAAGCAATAGAGCTCTCATGGGGCAGATGAGGGCTGCTCATCTTCTTTACCGCTCTGGGACAAAATGCATGGGTTGTGCAGATGTGCAGCGTACCCACGCCCATCACTAGGTCTTATTTTCAGGCTAGGGCTTCTATTGCACAAATGCTTAGAAATCCTGGCAGGGCTTATTTTATGGGTAGGTCTTATTTTCGGGGAAACACAGTGTATACTAATATGTACTTCCTTCGACGCAAATAGACACCTCAATAAAGCCGTTTGTAAAACTTCTCTTGCATTAGACCGGCTCTCTTGAACCAGCCCAGTGCTGGCCGGCACCGCCAGGTCGGTAAGGACAGGGGACGCTGGGGCTCGAGTCCCTGTGACCTGAATTACGGAGATGCTTTTGCTTCTGAAGAAAGGACACAAATGTTGCTTAGGCGGCTCTTGCAGAAAAGGCTCCGCAGTGACCGCATCTCCCGGGACGCCCAGACCGGCCGCCTGGCCTCGGGCAGCTCGGGGACAGCCCCGGCCTCAGCGGGCACGGCAAACACGGTCTGGGGCCTGGCAAGGGGCCGGACATACCCTTTGACCCCGCTTGTCCCCCGCCAGACTCTTCTGCGTCCCTCCACCACAACGGGTAGGAGCCGAGCCCGACGTCCCACTGACGCACATCTCCACTTCCGGGTTTGTGACGCAAAAGGGGCGGATCCAGAGGCGGGGACTGTTCTGGGGGCGTGGCCTCGTCGGAGACCAGAGGGCGAGGCCCGGAGAAAGCGGCAGACCCAGTGGGCGGGGCTAAGGCGGGCTCCAGGCCCAGTGGGCGGAGCCAAGGACGGGGACTTAGGCTTAGGGGCGGGACTTGAGTGGGCCCTCGATTCTAACTGGCCAGTCCTCACCCCAAAGAAAAGCAAGCTTTTCTTGCTGCAGTTCTCAGCCTCTCCCGAGGCTCTATACGACAGAACAGCAGGTTTGCAAATGTTATCTGCCAGTCCACAAGGTGGGACACGCCTCTGTTCATCTCGTTCCTTAGGTTCTAGAAGAGAATTTAAAATGTTCTTCCTAAATTGGTTATCTTTCAGTTAGCTTAACTCCTAGACATTATATATAAATACATTTAATTTCTGTATCATTTCCCAAGTGATTATTATTGGAGAGTTCTGAGAGTTGCTGAACATGCTCTGATTTAAATCATAGTTGTAAATCAGAGTGTCTAGCTGATATAGTAGATGCCCAACATATATGAGTTTTCACTTCCTCCCTTACGAAGGGTGAAGAGGTCTTCAAACGTTAGCTGTTTCTCATAATTCCAGTTATGAGAATATAGTAATTTACAAGGCAAATTAGGTGATGTGCTGCCGTCTTGTGGAGACAACGGGTATTACAGACCCTTTCAAGCAGATGCCTTTTGAAACAAAGTATAAAACCTTCCCCCCACTGGAAAATTCTCCTTTAAGAAGCATTTTCCGCCAGGCGAGGTGGCTCACGCCTGTAATTCCAGAATTTTGGAAGGCCGAGGCGGGAGGATCGCTTGAAGTCTGGAGTTTGAGACCATCCGAGCAAGAGTGAGACCCTGTCTCTACTAAAAATAGAAAAATTAGCTGGGTGTGGTGGTGTGCACCTTTAGTCCCATCTACTTTGAAGACTGAGACAGGAGGATCCCTGGAGTCCAGGAGTTTGAGGCTGCAGTGAGCTATGATGATGCCACTGCACTCTAGCCTGGGCGACAGAGCAAGACTCTGTCTCAAAATAAATAAATTAAATTAAATAGCATTTTCCTGTTCCACTATGCCTTTGGGTTATTTCTACCTGCTGTTTGAGGCTGGGTGGGAGGGAACAATTTGACAGATGAGAAAACTGAGAGACAGAGTCATCTACACGGTATTTCCACTTCACACCTAGCAAATGGCTAAAGGAGTTTAGGGAATGTGTGTAAATTTCTGGGGGAAGAATAAATAGCAAGTGCAAAGGTCCTGAGGCAGCAGAATATGTAACCTCTTTAACCAACAGCAAAAGCCCAGTGTCTGAAATGGTTTAAACGAGCTGGGCAGGAGGGAGTCTAGCAGGAAGCGAAGTCAGAGAACTAAGAGTCAGATCATACAAGGCCACCAGGGCAACTAAAATTTTTTGAGTTTTACTTTGAGTGCAAAGGGGAATCACTGAAGGGTTTTCAGGTACAGGAACAATATTATCTGATGTATATATTTGAAAAGATCTCCTCTGTCATTTATGCAACTCTTAGAAGGCAAAGGTAGAATCAGGGAGGGAAATTAGAAAGTTAAGGCAATAATCCTGATGAGAGAAGTGGCTTGGATGACAGTGGGCATGGGTCTGAGGCTGAAGCGAAGGCAGATCCAGTAGCGATCTGCTCTCTCCAGCTCTTCTCTGATGTGTGCACTTGGAATAAGGGACTGAGTGTACCAAGCTCAGCCCCCTTCTGTCTCCTGTCTGTGCCCTCCACATAGGTGACACCCTGGTCTTCCAGGCAGGTGGTGAGCCCACAGAGCCCAGCTTAGCCACACGCACCCTCCCACCCAGCCCAGATCAGAAGCGACACTCCTCGCATGGCTGGGTGCACACAATCATGATCTGACACCTGCATCTTACAAGTGGTTAAGACTCAAAGAGCAGGAAAAGGAGTTGCTACTTACTGAAGCCTGAAACCTGAGCCACCTGCAAGGCCCTGCCTGCCCAGGTCCCCATTATTTCTCCAACCTCACTTTCTAAAATTATTATTATTATTTCTTTTTAGAGACAGGGTCTTGGTTTGTCTTCTGAGTTGGAGTGCAGTGGTGTCATCATAGTTTACTGTAAACTTGAACTCCTGTAACCTTGAACTCCTGGATTCAAATGATCCTCCTACCTCTGCCTCCTAGGTAGCTGGGACTACAAGTATACACCTCCATGCCCAGTTAATTTTTAAAATTATTTTACAGATGGGGTCTTGCTATGTTGTCCAGGTTGGTCTTGAACTCCTGGCCTCAAGCGCTCCTCCTGCCTTGGCCTCCCAAAGCACTGGATTATAGATGTCAACGACTGTGCCCAGACTCCTACCTCACTTTCTGTTGCTCTTCCCACCACTGGAAACTTCTTCCTATTTCTGGAAAATGCCAAATTCATTCCTAGGTCAGCGGTTTTGTCTTTCCTCTTCCTCCTGAGCTCTTCCCATGACTGGTTTCTCTTCACCCCTCAGATCTCAGCCCAGAAGCCCTGCTTACTTTACCAACTATGCCTCCATCATGGTGACCCTGGTTTATTCTTTTTTTTTTTTTGAGACAGAGTCTCACTCTGTTGCCGGGGCTAGAGTGCCGTGGTGGCATCAGCCTAGCTCACAGCAACCTCAAACTCCTGGGCTCAAGCAATCCTTCTGCCTCAGCCTCCCGAGTAGCTGGAAAAGGTATTTCACAGAAGACCACTAGCTAACAAATAATAGAATTGGAAAAGCAGCATTTCGCAATCCCCAAAGTAATCATTTAGTCAGGCAAGGATAATTATGGATGCTGAAATTACTGGGTGAAAGCATCTTGGGAAACAGGATGTTCCAACTGGGTCAGAGTATCACCCACAGATTATGAATTACCAAGGGAAAAATGTACTTTTACAATGTCACCACCTTAGGTAAGTGAGCAAATTTAATATCACTAAGAATGAGAAATCCTGCACGAGATTCCTTGGATGCAATGTGATATGAATTGCTTATGGGAAAAACTCTTGGAAAGATATTTAATCCCAATCTGTTCAAGTTTCTATCTTCCAGACTATGAGAAAATAATGGAGATAGCACATCAGGCCGACAACTATCGACTCATCGGTCCAAATTCAGCCCAATGGCCTATTTCTTTCTTCTCTCTAAAAAAAATACAAACTGAGCCTGAGAGACCTTGTGCCAGAAAACACGTAAGAGTTCAAAGAGGAACCAGGTGCAGTGGCTCACACCTGTAATCCTAGCTTTCTGGGAGGCCGAAGCAGGAGGATAGCTTGACCTCAGGAATTTGAGACCAGCCTGAGCAAGAACAAGACCCTGTTTCTACTAAAAATAGAAAAATTAGCCGGGGCATCATGGAAAGTGCTTGTAGTCCCAGCTGTTTGGGAGTCTGAGTCAAGAGGATCATTTGAACTCAGCAGTTTGAGGTTTAAGTGAGCTATGGTGACACCACTGCACTTTACCCAGGGTGATAGAGTGAGACAGTGTCTCAAAAATGAATTAATTAATTAAATCAAAAGAAAAAAGAAGAGTTGAAAAAGGCCAGGTGTACTGTCTTACGCCTATAATCCTACAGTCTGGGAGGCCAAGGTGGAAGGATTGCTTGAGGCCCGGAGTTTGAGCCCAGCCTGGGTAACATAGTGAGACTCATCTCTACAAAATTTCTTTAAAAGATTAGGTGGGCATGGTGCGGCACGCTTATAGGCCTAGTTACTCCACAGGGTGAAGTGGGAGGATTCCTTGAACCCAGGAGTTTGAGGTTGCAGTAAGCACTCCCAGTCTCAGTGATAGAGCAAGACCCTGTCTCTAAATAATAATAATAACAACAAGTTCAAAGAGAGTAATGGGGCATGTCAAAAGGAAACAGGATATAGTTTGCAGGGGCTTCCCCTTCCCTTGGTCAAATTTTATACAATTTGAAGGTTTTTTAAAAAAAGAATGATGATAGTAACCGATTACAATCCAATGAATGAAAAACAGACAACTCCATTGAGATACTTAAAAAATAAAAGGAGTGAGAAGAAAAGGAAAGGTGCATGCCTATAGTTCCAGCTACTCGGGAGGCTGAGGCCAGAAGGATTGCTTGAGCCCAGAGTTTGAGGTTGCTGGTGAGCTAGGCTGATGCCACCACGGCACTCTAGCCCGGCAACAGAGTGAGACTCTGTCTCAAAAAAAAAAAAAAAAAAGAATAAACCAGGGTCACCATGATGGAGGCATAGTTGGTAAGTAAGCAGGGCTTCTGGGCTGAGATCTGAGGGTGAAGAAAAACCAGTCATGGGAAGAGCTCAGGAGGAAGAGGAAAGACAAAACCGCTGACCTAGGAATGAATTTGGCATTTTCCAGAAATAGGAAGAAGTTTCCAGTGGTGGAAGAGCAACAGAAAGTGAGGTAGGAGTCTGGGCACAGTCGTTGACACTATAATCCAGTGCTTTGGGAGGCCAAGCAGGAGGATGTGAGGCCAGGAGTTCAAGACCAACCTGGACAAATAGCAAGACCCCATCTGTAAAATAATTTTAAAATTAACTGGGCATGGAGGTGTATACTTGTAGTCCCAGCTACCTAGGAGCGCAGAC